CTCATTATTACTTTGCAGCGGAAGGATTTCACCGTGTAGATTATTGGACGCACTAACTGGTTCCACATGGAAGGGCACAACTAAGATGTTCAGTTCCCTCTGCCTGCTTTTCAGGTCCTGGAATCTTTCATCAAATGTCAATGAGTTTCTCACATTCACAGCACATCCAAGGGTCGTGGAAGGCTTTTGTTCTTCTGGAGTAGGGAAATGCACTGTGTTATTCCTTTCAAGATACATTTTTCACCGCCTTCATTTAGCTTCCAATGATTTCACATTTGAAGGCAGGGAAGTGCGAAGCTGGCTGGAGGCCCGCAGCTTGATGATCAGCTCTGGGAGGTTCTTGGTGACGTCCACTGTGTACGCGAGATCACACGGCCACTGGCTGTCACTGAGTTCTCTAACCGGGTTTCCCTGTATCTTCACGAACTCCTCAACTTCCCCCTGCTGCTCCCGCCACTCAGCCCCCGTGATAAACAAGGTCATCCTACTCAGAGTCAAGATCATGCAGTAACTCCTTAAACCGCCAGCTGTTAAACATGCTGCTTTGGACGAAGTTTACAGACGACACTACTGCTGACTTCACACTGTTGAACTGAACAAGCGCACAGATTTTCTTGGTGCTTGACAGAATAGCACATAATTAAATCACTTGGATCAAGACTAAGACGAATGGTTTCTTTTTTGACAAATGCAGGGAATTCTTCTTGCAAGCTCACCATGGCCAAAGCTCCACCTGTAAGCAAGGCCACATAGTTTTCTCATTGCTAAAACAAGTCTCTCAATCGAGTCCTCATATCTTGTTGTGTCGTGCATGGCTTCCCATGACAGTCATTCCTCTTGCGTGTCAAACACTGCAGTTATCCCATGAACAAAACCGCTCAATTGGGCAGAGTTTGTTATATCCATTGTTTTGTCAGAAGCCAGAGAGAAAAATTGGGAATCTCCTGCAGAAGTCTTTTTTTTTTTTTTTTTTTGACATACAGAGTGGACAGTGAGAGAGAGAGATAGAGAGAAGGGTCTTCCTTTTCCGTTGGTTCACCCTCCAATGGCCGCCACGGCCAGCGCACCGTGCTGATCCAAAGCCAGGAGCCAGGTGCTTCTCCTGGTCTCCCATGGGGTGCAGGGCCCAAGCACTTGGGCCATCCTCCACTGCACTCCCTGGCCACAGCAGAGAGCTGGCCTGGAAGAGGGGCAACCGGGACAGAATCCGGTGCTCTGACCGGGACTAGAACCTGGTGTACCAGCGCCACAGGCAGAGGATTAGCCTAGTGAGCCGAGGCACTGGCCCTGCAGAAGTCTTCAGTGTTCTCCCGGTGCCTTGTGCTAAGTCAGTAATCCTGTCTGAGCCAGTTCTCCGAGACAGACTCACACTCTGAGACAGTGGTACCTTGGCACCATACAGTCGTTCACAAACTGCCTCTTCCGGAAGCCACAGCTGTTTGGCAGTTACCTAGCGCACTACAGAACTTGTCTGAATGACTTTGTCTCTTGTAGCAGGAGGCCTAGTGAAAGCAGCTTGCTGTGATTCTGTGTTTGGAGCCGTAATGACGCTCCAGACTGGCTTTCTTCATTTCTGTTAATGCATCGCCACAAAGTAGGCACAAGGGCAGGTTTGCCTTTGAGTTCAACAACAACAACAACAACAACAACAAAATCATTTTTCCATTTCTCTTGGAAAGATCAGCACTCTACGTCAACTTGTCTCTGCCGTCGCCATTTGTAGGCTGTCTTACACTGCGGAAGTTTAGATGGCATTCCAGGGTGGGTTTGTTTTGCTTTGATTGCTGGTCTAATCCTGCATCCTGGATTTGGAACATATCTCACGCTTCTAGCATCGACTTGAGGTGTTTTCTGTGTGCTGTAATTCCCTTCATTTTCCTCTGAGATTCAGCTTTGGCAAGGATAGTTGATCATGGACAGGTGGCTGGGGGTTAGATTGAAGTTGTTGTCACCCAGGAAGCCGAGAACATGCTTGTCAATCATTGGAAGCAAGATGATGGATGTCATGAGGAATCATCTCATTTCACCATCACCAGAGCTGGGCAGCTTCACACAGTGTGTTAACACTTGCAATGTGTACACTCTGGCACTGTCCACTGCATCACCACAACATAGGCAGACAAGCCGCAGGCAGCCGACGAGAAGCACCAGGGCTGTCCTCATCCATGTCCTATCTATCCCATAAGGATGTTCCTTGCTTGTCCCTCAAAATTTATGTGATTATTACGATTCATTTAAAATAAATTTATGATACTATGAAAAAGCTCCTAGGTTTCTTGAATTTTGAGGCTTGCCTGCGGTTGCCTTGGCAGGGCCAGATCAAATCCAGACATCCCACCCTTGATTCAGAAGAAGGCGGCAGGGGGCTGTGCTGTGGCATAGCGGGTAAAGGTGATCCAGCTCCCTACTAATGTGCCTAGGAAAGCAGCGGAAGATGGCCCAAGTGCTTGGGCCCCTGCACCCACATGGGAGACCTAACAGGAGTTCCTGGCTCCTAGCTTCAGCCTGGCCCAGCCCTGGCTAATGCGTCCATTTGGGGAGTGAATCAGTGGATGGAAGATCTCTCTTGCTCTGTTTGTCCTTCTCTCTAAATCTGCCTTTTTAAAAAAATTATTTATTTATTTGAAAGGCAGAATTACAGAGAGGCAGAAGAAGCAGAGAGAGAGAGAGGTCTTTCGTCTGTTGGTTCACTTCCCAAATGGCCACAAAGGCTGGAGATGGGCCGATCCAAAGCCAGGTGCAGGAGCTTCTTCTGGATCTCCCAAGCAGGTGCAGGGGCCCAAGGATGTGGGCCATCCTCCACTGCTTTCCCAGGCACATTAGTAGGGAGCTGGATTGGAAGTGGAGCAGCCGGGACTTAAACTGACTCTCATATGGGATGCTAGTGCTGCAGGCAGTGGCTTTACTTGCTATGCCATAGCGCTGGCCCCTAACTCTGCCTTTCAAATAAATAAATATTCAAAGGAGGAGGAGGAGGAGGAAAAGAAGAAGAAGAAGGGGGAAAAGGTGGAGAAGGGGGCGAGAGCTCACGGTTTGGGGTAAACAATTCCCTGCAAACTCTCTTTCCGGGGCCCAGGAGACTGCCTCTGTGAGTTCTCCTACACAAACAAGACCTGTGCTGCCTTTCGCTCTGCTTCTATGGCCTGACGTGCTAAATAAAGTCCTTTTTGCCTTCTTCCCTTCTCTCATGATGGCCTCCAATCAGTCCTGTTGATCTCTAAAATACTATCAAATAAGTTCCCCCCTTTCCATCCCAGCTTCCCCTTCCAGTTCAGATCTGCAGCGACTTTTCCCTGCATCATTGTTGTGGGCTTCCTGTTTCCAATCTGACATTTCTCTAACCAGGGTCATGGAGCACAGTTGGGCAGTTTGTGTACTGCACACAGGAGGTGAGGGGGGCTGAAATATGCCCTGTCCATCTGTTCTCTGGTGTGGGGTTCTGTTTATATGGAGACGATAACGTGCAGTGTTGAAAGGTGCCGCACAAACCTGATGCTATAGACCTCTACTATCCAGTATGGTAGCCACTAGGCACATATGGCTGTCGAAATGTAATTCATTAAAAAGGTATAACATTTAAAGTTCAGTTCCTCAGTCATACTTGCTACACTGAAAGTGCCCAAGAGTCACATGTGCCTTGTGGTTACTGTATTGGAGAGCAGACGAACAGAAAATTTCTACCAGTGCAGAAAGTTCTACCGGATAGTAGCGAGTAGACCTTCCTTTGAAACTGGTTCACACAATGCTCTGGTGTGAGTGATCTTTAATGCCAAACATGTCCTCCTCATGCTTAAAAGTCTTCCATGATTTCCACTTCCATCCGCAGCAGTTAGGTGGCCCAACCATTCTGTGGCTTGTAGCCAGCATCCACAACAAAACAGCCAGAAAGAATAGGAAGGAGGGGGTTGCTGTTGTGGCTACATCTGGTTAAGTGGCTATTGGCATTTCAAATCAAGGTGCCAGCTCAAGTCACTGGTGCTCTGTTTCCAATTCACGTGAGAGGAGCCTGGGCTCCTGTCACCCACGTGGGAGACCCAGACAGAGCTCCGGGCTGCCGCAACTCCAGTCGTTGCAGGGTTGAACCAGCGGAGAAAAGAACTCTGCTTCTCCCTCTCTTTTTGTCACTCTGCCTTTCAAATAAATAAATCTTTGGGGAAAAAAAGGGAGGAATACTCATGGATCTTTGGTGCTGTTTTGATAGATATTTGTTTTGATGGCATCTACATTTCTGCGTTTCTATATCTATATTGCCATCTCTCTATAATTTTATATCTATATAATGTTCCATTGGGTTGCCATGGAAAAGTCTACTTGTGTGGTGAGCAAACACAGCTTGAAAACCTTGGGCTTGTAGGATACGGGGTCTGAACTCCTTAGCAGGGCACTTGAAGTCTTTCATGATCTGACCCCTTGCTAACTCCTTTCTCTTAACACTGTCTTGCATTTATGTTCCACTAATGTAAAACTGACGCTGGGTTCAGCCAACACACCAAGCTTTTCTTTGTAAGCACAGTGTTCACGTGTGCCGGACCGCTTCCTTGGACAGCTGCCAGCTCTACCTTGTCTTAGCCTGGACGGCTTCTACTCACCACAGAGGCCTGAGCTTAGGAAACCTCTGCTCCAAGAATTCTGGCCCGAATGCCTAGGGCCGGCTGGGTCCCCTTTGACCTTTCAGAACCTCCTACAGACATCCCTGTCTGGCTTATAATCTCGTAATTATTTAGTCAGTAAATATTTATTCGTTTCTGGCACTATATTGTTCTTTCAGTGCAAAACTACTTCACTCATCTTTGTATTTCAAGAGAGAAGTATAGAACCTGGGACAAACTGGGCACTCATTCAGTAAATACTTGTTCAGAGAATAAACCAGACAACCAAAGAAAAAGAATCCAACTGTGCAGACAACATGAGTACGATGTACACTCCAGCCATCAGAGGGCGCCAGCGCGGCGCCCCTGGTGCGCAGGCGCGCTGGGAGGCGGGCACCACGGCGGCGGCGGCGGCGGCGGCGGCGGCGGCGGTCCTGGCTGCGGCCGGGGGAAGTGAATGGTTTTACCCAGAGGGCTCTGCGCCGCCTTTCTCCCGCTGGCACCGGCGCCGCTCCCTACTGCTCCTGCCCGGCCATGGCGTTCACGTTCGCGGCCTTCTGCTACATGCTGGCGCTGCTGCTCACCGCGGCGCTCATCTTCTTCGCCATCTGGCACGTGAGTAGCCGGGGCTGGGGGGAAGGCGGGCGAGGCGGCGGCGCAGCCCCTTCTCGCCCGGGGCCCACAGTGTCGGGGACGCGGCGGCGCCCCCGGAGGTCGGTGCGCCGGGGGATGGGGCCGGGGCGGCGCGGGCCGCGCCGAGAGGGGTCTGCGCGCCCGTCCGCCTCGCGGCCTGGGGGCTGCAGGTTGGTGGGGGGCAGCCGGGCGAGGGTCGCCTGGCCGGCGCGCGGCAGTGTCCAGGCGCAGGCCGCGCGCACCGCTACTCCGCCGCGGCGGGGTGGGGCGGCCGCGGTCCAGCCAGGCCCTGCGGGACAGCGCCCCGCACCCCCGGCGCTCCACATCCCGGGGGAGGCTGTCGAGGGCGCCCCGAGCCTCGGGACGCACTTAGCGAGAAGTTTTTACGAATGCTTATATGATGTAATACCGAGTGCCTGCCTGATGGAGGGTTTCCGCAGGAGTGTGGCCAACGCCGATGGGCACAGCCCGGCCGAGATGCATTTCCAACCGGACGACTTCTAGGCACTTGTTGGGTCTTCGAATAGAATCGTGTCCTCTGCCAGCCCCCCCAGCCCCTCCTCGGGATTCCTGCTTCCTGTGAACTTGGACGCGGGGCGCGTTGCTTTGTCCACCGCCTCTCGCCGCTCCCCGCCCTAAGTCACGCTTTGACCGCCGGCTGTTTCTCTGGAGACGGTCTCCGAGCCACCTCTGTAATTTATGGTTGCCTGGTTTGGTAGAGGGCGTTTTAATTTGATTTTCAGAATGCTCAGAAACCGTCGGTTGCGCTGAAGGAGTTTTAATATCTTTGACTCGCATCCTGAAAAGCCCGTAGGATTAAAAAGCGCATCCTCAGTGGGCCCGAAGAGGAACAGGCTTAAGTTCCCGGTGACAGTTCTACCAGAGACTTTTTTAATTTAATTATTTTATTTTATATTATTATTTACAGATTTCTGGTTCTGTAGCATAAAGTGGGAGGCGTTGAGAGCCATGAGTTTTGTCTTCCTTTTGCTCCTGTCCTCCCCATAGCCCAGTGCCTTCTGGAATGATGGCCTCCCTTTGAACAGCTGAGGGTGTTCACCCCCAAGTCAGGTGTGGTCCTGCCCACGCCAGGGATTTGTTACGAAACATCCGGAGAAGCGGAGTGATGGGCTGGCAGCAGTGTCTTGTGCCAAAAGACGTCTCACAAGCAGAGACACGGCACGGACCATTCCCTTTGGCTCAGCAGTGCAATTCTACTTGGTTGCCACCCTGCCTGCTCGTGGACAGGGGCGTGCTTGTGTAGGCTGCTAACTTACAGACATGGCTGCTATCTCAGTGCTGGTCAGGAACAAGGAGGACCCTGAGGAGCGTCAGGGCTGGTGCCAGGGAAGCTGGAGCAGCCCCCAATGGAGCTGCAGTGTGTGGCCATGGCCTGGCCGTGGCCTGGCCGTGGCCTGGCCGTGGATGGGGTTCACTGGCGGTCACCTGCTGCTTGCTGCAAGGAGATTCCGAGCAAGGAGCTGCGCGGTGGCCCTTTCCACATTTTTACTTTTAGGACCACCTTGTGCTTGGCTTCAGGAAAACCGGAAGCGCGCCTTTTAAAAAATGAGTAGTTTAATTTCAGCTTTGAAATGCATGTCTCCTGGAAGTAGATAATTTTAAGCCCTGTTACAGAATTAAAAAAAAAAAAAAGAATCCTGTCACAGGTTAATGGAGAGCCTTCATGCTTAGGGGTTTCTTAGTTCAGAGAGTCACTGCACCCTTTTGGAAACAATTCTAAACAAACATGTAATTTTTTTTTTTTTGACAGGCAGAGTTAGACAGTGAGAGAGAGAGAGAGAGAGAGAGAGAGAAAGGTCTTCCTTCCGTTGGTTCACCCTCCAAATGGCTGCTACGGCTGGCGTGCTGTGCCGATCTGAAGCCAGGAGCCAGGTGCTTCTCCTGGTTTTCCATGCGGGTGCAGGGCCCAAGCACCTGGGCCATCCTCCACTGCCCTCCCGGGCCACAGCAGAGAGCTGGACTGGAAGAGGAGCAACTGGGACTAGAACCCGGTGCCCATATGGGATGCCGGCACCGCAGATGGAGGATTAACCAAGTGAGCCACGGTGCTGGCCCTGATAAACGTGTAATTTTAAATTGTCTATTATCCATGTAACCTGAACTTTTATTCTTTTTTTTTTTTTTTTTAAGAATTTATTTATTTGAGAGTCAGAGAGACAGGTCTTCCATCTGATCTGCTGGTTCACTCCCCAAATGGCTGCAACCTGAGCTGGGCTGATCTGAAGCTAGGAGCCAGAAGCTTCTTCTGGGTCTCCCATGTGTGTGCAGGTCATCTTCTGCTGCTTTCGCAGGCGCATTAGCAGGGCGCTGGATTGGAAGTGGAACAGCTGGGACTTGAACCTGTGTCCATAGGGGATGCCAGTGCTGTGGACGGCAGCTTAACCTGCTGTGTCACAACACTGTCCCCAGGTATCCTGAGTTTTATACTTGGCATCTTGAGGGATTTATCTGTTTTTTTATTTTTATATTTTGTGGGCGATCTTATGAACATTTTTGTTTAGCCACACAAAAAGCCACTGCAAAAGAGTTGAAATCCTCTCATTTAAGAATCCTATCGGAAGAGCATTGAAAACTCTCACTTAGGGCACTCAAACAGAAACACATTCGGCGTCATATGCAAAAGGGCGCTGGAAGTCACCTAAAGGTAATGTCCGATAAAGAAAGTAGTGTTAAAGATAAGTTTTGTATTTTGCTATTAAATTTGATCTTGTTATAGGCAAATACTGTTTTTCTTTTGTGATGATGGTCCTTGTCTTGAACTTTATTACTAAAATGCAGTGGGGATATATCACAGTAGTGTCAGGTTGCTAATCATGTCCGTGAGTATTCAGAAATCAGTATCTTCTGATTTCACATTTATATATATATATATATATATATATTATATTTTTTTTTTGACAGGCAGAGTGGACAGTGAGAGAGAAAGACAGAGAGAAAGGTCTTCCTTTTGCCGTTGGTTCACCCTCCAATGGCCGCCACGGCTGGTGCGCTGCGGGCAGCGCACCGCGCTGATCTGAAGGCAGGAGCCAAGTGTTTCTCCTGGTCTCCCATGGGGTGCAGGGCCCAAGCACTTGGGCCATCCTCCACTGCCTTCCCGGGCCACAGCAGAGAGCTGGCCTGGAAGAGGAGCAACCGGGACAGAATCCGGCGCCCGGACCGGGACTAGAACCTGGTGTGCCAGCGCCGCAAGGCGGAGGATTAGCCTATTGAGCTGTGGCGCTGACCCACATTTATATTTTTATCATTTACTTGTGTTAGGGGCCATTAGAACAGGAAAATCTCCTGATGAATTCTTTTTTGTTGTTTTAATTTGTTGATTTTTTATTTGAAAGGCTGAGTTACAGAGAGAGGGAGAGACAGAGAGAGAGTGATCCTCCATCCTCTGGTTCACTCCCCAGTGGCTGCAATGGCTAGAGCTGTGACAGACCAAAGCCAGGAGCCAGAAGCTTCTTCCAGGTCTCCCAAGTGGATGCAGGGGCCCAAGCACTTGGGCCGTCTTCTGCTGCCTTCCCAGGCACATTAGTAGGGAGCTGGATCGGAAGAAGAACAGCCTGGACTAGAAATGACATCTATATTGGATGCCGACACTGCTGGCAGTGGCTTAACCTGCTACTCCACAATGCCAGTTCCAAATTCTGTCCTTTTTAAAAAAAATCTCCAGTGTTTTTCTCTCTCCGCACCTTCCATTCAATATTTATTGAACACTTAAATATGTGCCAGGTGTCTTTTTTATGTTTTAGGTCCTGGGCCACAGTAGTGAATACAGTAAAAATCTTGGTTCTCTTCAATGTTATTCTAGCATTACTGATTACTGATAATACAGGGCGGTGCTTGTCTCACTTAGAAAGATGCTATTCCCAACCCAGCAGGGGAGGCCGGGATCAGTTCTGTGTCCCCTGAGTAATCAGTGGCAGCAGCTGACATGGCTCCTCTGTGAACTTGCTGCCATTGGCCTCTCTGACACACGGTGTCAGTGCCACACGGTTGTGTATGGCCTGTATTTTGGGTCTAAGTACATTTTCACTTTGAAGTTCTGTGTTTTAGTGACCCCTAAGGTGATAGCCATATCCCTGCAGAGTGTGGACAAAAACTGCCGTGTGCCCTACAGCTCAGTCTGACACACACAGGAGCTGAGACCAGCTGAGGGGAGGGGATGTTGCTGTCTTCCATCCCGCTGGGGTGTAAACGGAGAAGGTTGGGCAAATCCCTTAGGTCTCTTGCTCCCGTTCTGTCATCCTCGCCCCGGTCCCGCGCACGCCTGCTTGTGTTGGTCAGATTTGCACGTGGTCTGTGGGAGGAAGGCCGAACTCCTCTCCAGGGCACGAGGGTGCAGCACCCGGGGCAGCCCCACCACCTCACAGCACGGGGAAGAGCTTCCCGCAGGTTCCCCGGCCCTCGGCTGCCAGACAGCCTTGACCCCCTAACACTGGGGACTCTCCAGTTTCTGACGTCACCTGGGCGGGCCTGCCTGTGAGGCAGAGGTCAGCTACGGCCTCTATCCTGAGACTAATCCTGCAAAGTCAGGGTGAGCCTGCTCAGATCTGAAAGGCATCACCTTCTCACCTCCAGAGATACCTGCTGAGTTCAATAAACAAAGATTCTTCCCTTGGGCCTGAAGGGGAGCAAGTTGAAGTGCCAAGTCTGTCTCTGGTGTCTCAGCGGTGCTGTGGCAGGGGCAGGGCCTGCCCACATCATTCAAAGTGCTCCTGCAACGTGCAAGCGAACCTGTTGGTAAATGCCAGTGAAGTGCTACCTGCAAACATGCACGAGAGTGCCGTTAACTTTGCCTGAGACAGTCAGGAAAACCCCAGAGAGTAGTTGATACATAGGAAGCAGGTTTTTAAGAGAAAGAGGAGTTTGGATAAATAATTGTGGAGGTAGGGGAAGTCATATCTCAAGTAGAGAAAATAAGAGAACGGGTATTGAAGAGATGGAAATTTGAAGGTAATGAGCTCAGTGATATCAGATCATTTTAATGATAATGACATAACAGTGTTTTCAGTTCTTTTAATCTGATTCTTGTGGTTCTTGCTATTAGTATGTGTTGTTTACTGTAAATTGGTTTGCTTTTACTTTCGTTTTATTAACTTGTTTCAGTAGTTATTTGATGGTGGGGCAGGTTTGTTGCTCCTTTTTATTCAAATGAGTGGTCCTAACTGTTTTAATTTTATTTTAGATTATTGCATTTGATGAGCTGAAGACTGATTACAAGAACCCTATAGACCAGTGTAATACCCTGAATCCTGTAAGTTACAATATAGGATTTGTCTATAGATTTTTATATTTTGATATAATTTTGAAAATGGCCAGTATTCTCAGTGGCATGGTATATTTGTACTTTTTGAAATAGGCACAGTTTTTAAAATGTTTTTTTTTTCTGTCATGTGTGACTATTCTGACTATTATTAATCTGCTGGTGATCTTGTCAGCTGTCATACTAACATTCTTCCAATCTGCTTTTTACGTTGTCGGCCAAAGACAGTTGAAAAGGTCAAAAAGATTAAAAGAGTCAAAATTGCACTAAAGGTGTGTACTGCTTTTCAGTTTAATGCTTTGATGCTACTTCATTTCATGGGGAGGGTAGGGCGTTTGTATTGTTCTGTTCAGTGTGCTTGTTCATATGCCTGTTGAGGTTTATGATTTCATGAAACTTCATACTTTATGCAAATATTTGCTTGCTGGCCCAGTCAAGTAGGGAAAGCTGTTAAATGCTTATGCCTTTTTAAATGTCATAGCCATAGGCACTTCTGTATTAAATTATTTGGTGCAGTGTTTGAAAGTTGGTTAACATAAAGCGCCTTTCTAACAGAGTTGAGGTTATTCTTGAGTTGTGGCTTTATTGTGAGGTGGGAGGCAGGTGGCATCTTTGGTAGGGACTTAGCTGCCTTGGCTAGCTTTAGCTCTGGCTAGGGGTGTTCTGGAGTAGATTCAGCCTCTCCGCTACTGCTTTTTCTTAGCCTTTCAGGTGGATAGCTCTGTTCTTGCATTCTGGAATCTTGAGGTAATTGCCCTTTGGACTTACGCTGCTAGAATTTCATAGAAAGCAATTTGTCTACAAATGTCTAGAGTTACGTGTAGTGCATGTCCATTCTCAGTCTCTAAGACAGACCTGTCCTACACTAAGCTGTGAGATGGAATGGAGTTAGTGATCCTGTGGCTCCATTTGCTTAGAGGTTTTATGGATTTTTTTTTTTTTTTTACTTTTGTAGGAAAATTTTCTTCCAGTTCATAGGTTTAATTTGACTTCAGTAGTCTGAAGCAGAAGGAAAACAATGGATGCATTTTCAAGAAGTGAAATATAGTAATTCATCCTTAAAAATACAATGAAATAGGAGTATGTGTAGCATTTAGTTGTGTAAAATGCCAGTGCACTAGCACGCTGGCAGAGCTGACAGATGGAAGAAACATCTGTCGTGTGAGTTTGCTACCTTATCAGTTTTCCAGGTACAAGTGAATGATGGTTTGATTTTTAGTTTGTCTTTTGAGAACTGTTACAGGAAGACTTGATGTAGATACAAGGATAACTGTTAACTTAGCAGCTGTGGCTCTGTTCTGTGGCATGAAATGGGAGGAAAAGAATGCCTTCTGGTTGGAAATACTATGTTCATTATAAAAATCCCAACCTTAGAAGTTGAAACTAATTGTTACCAGGAAACAAGTAGACTGCAGGCTCTCCTTTTGACAGTATTTTCTTCTGGAATGAATAGTATTCTGTGCTCTTTGGCTTTTTTATTACTGCCAGTAACCAACTGATGAGGAGAGTAATAGTAACTGCAGTTAGACGAGGCCTTTGTTGGGTGCCAGGCTGTGTGCTAAGCATTATACCTGGATTTCGTTGGTTCAGCTCTCGTGCCAGTCCTCAGAGGTCGGTGTATTTTCATTCTCATGAGCAGGAGAGTGTGTGGATGGCTTGGCGAGCTGAAAGCACTTCGCTCAAGGTTCCGCAGCTAAGGGAATGCCAGAATTGGAACCCGGACAGCCTGAGTTTTTGAAGCTAAAGCTCGTATTTCCCTAATTCATTGTCATTTAAGAGGAGCAAATTTCATTTTAACATAATATGCCTGATTTCTGGCTTTTCTTAATGGAAAGAAAGTGTCACTGAGAACACACATGAGCCAAACCCCCTGCCGCCACGGAGGTAGGGAGGTCAGGGTGTGGCCGCCCAGGTCGCGCCGTGGCTAGGGTGCCGATCATTGGCTGAGCAGCAGTGCATCTGACAGTTTTCCCTATCAAAGTTTGTTTTGACAGTTCTGCCAAAGTATGGGGGAAGACACATATCCTAATTTCCAAAAACGAGAACTTCAACAAGAGAGTATTATATTTTGCGTGCCTGAGTACTGCCACTTGAGCCGTGTTTGCGTGAGGTACTTGTCCTGGATACTAGTTTGTGTATGAACTTGAGTTCTTAAGGAGGGTAAGTTTTGTGGTACTCACAGGGCATTTCATCACTGAAGAGCTGATTTTTGTGAGATGCATAACAAGTGTATCTGAAGTTGTTTTTGAGAAGGGAGGGAAATGTGAATTTTTTTTTCGTATTAGAACTGGTGAGTTGCAGGTTATCTTCACACTCTTACAAAATAAGTGCTTAAGAGCAGTGTGGGTTGTGCTGATTTGAAAATCATGCCCTTTCCATACCCTAGCTGGGAAGGGTGGGCTGAATGATTGCATAATGATTTGTATCTGTTGACTTCAGAGGGCTGAAGTAGGCTTATTGTCTTAGGAAGAAAATCTCTGATATTTAAACAGAGCAGCTCTGGTGGAATTTGTAATAAAATGCCTATTTTTCTTCATTTGTCTTGATTGTAGTCACTGGGCTTTGATAGATGCTGATTCAAAGGTTCCTGCTACAAGTTTACATGTGTGTGCAGAGTTGATCTTCTGTTTATTGTTGTTTATTATATTGCTTACCTTTGTAGAAGATACCTGGCTAGTGGCATACATTATTTGGTTTTTACTGGGATTTCCTCTAAAATAGTATTCGTTACAAAGTTGAATAGTTTTAGATTGGTAAAAGTAATTTGACTATTAGAAAATGGGCTTTAGTATGCAGTATAATTATTTCTACAGCCATGGTTTCCCCTCGGGAAAAGTCTGAAGATGTTGAAGAATCACGTGATTTGAACGTGGGCTGAAATAAACTTGGAAACTGGCTGCACAGCTCTGAGTTACTGGGGTTTCTTTGGCCAAAACTTGCCTTGAAGGGTTTTGATATTTTTGTTTAAGACATTGGTCTGAAATCTTGACGATTATAAAGATGTTAAATAAAGCACTAGCTCTTGGTGACTTTATGAAAACCATTTTGCTTAAATTAGCTTTTCCTCACTAAATACTGCCTCCTACCAAAAGGTTTTGAGTTCTGAGTGTCCACTGGTCTTAGGCTGTGTCTCTAGCGATTTGCTAGCAGGCAAGGCAGAAAGAGAAATAAAGGTCATGGAAGAATGAGAACTCAGGGACCTGGGAAATTCCAATTTCGTGGATGAGAACTCCGTCTTTTCCCTCCTACATTGCAGAAAGCACATCCTTTGCATTTGTGCTTCTTAGTGCTCGTCCCCTGACTGTGCTGAGATGATTGGCTGATTGCTTTCCATTGAAAAATGACTCATGGTAATGTGATGTGGTTTGCTAAATACTATATATGTAGCAGTCCTGGTTTCTGTAAAAGGCTTAAAAACACTACTGTGTGAACTTCTAAAGGACAGTTTTGTTTTTGTGGACTTTTTGTGCCGTGTTGCATGTGATCAGATACTTCATTTTTATATTTTTATCAGTGTTGAGTAGCAGAAAGAAGTATTCCAATCCATGAGTGGAGAAGTGAACAGTCTGGGTGGTAACTTTGTATAATTCAACCGGTTGCTTAGAGAATATGAGTTTTAAATTTTAAGCCTTATTTTACAGCAAGCTGTATCTTCCGATCAGCTTGCTTGTAGCCCTGCTTTTGGTAAAAAGTAAAAGTAAAAATGTGGCGCTAAAACTCAGTAAAATCGTTTGTCTCTGATTCTAAGAGTGAGTTTTCATTATGGAAACTTGGTTGCCACCTGCCCTCCAGAGTAGCCGCTGTTGACGGTCACTGCGCTGTGATAACGGGCTTGTGTTTTTCTTCCAGCTTGTACTTCCAGAGTACCTCATCCATGCTTTCTTCTGTGTCATGTTTCTTTGTGCAGCAGAATGGCTTACACTGGGTCTCAATATGCCCCTCTTGGCATACCATATTTGGAGGTAATATTTAGATATGCTTTTAATATTTTTCCTAATTAAAATTTAATTGTACTGTAGTTGATATGCTAGCCACCGAAATGAAAATTGAAAATCAATTGGTATTTATTTTTTTAAAGATGTATTAACTTATTTGAAAAGCAAAGTAATAGAGAAAAGAGAAAGAGAGAGAGAGGACTGAGGGGAGAGAGAGTGAGAGTGAGCACACCCTTCCCTACGCTGGTTCACTCCCTGAAGGCCTGCAGCATCCCAGGGCTGGGCCAGGCTGAAGCCAGGAGCCAGGAGCTCCATCTGGGTCCCACCTGGGTGAAAGGCCGCGAGTACCTGAACCATCACTGCTGTCTTCCCGGGTGTACATGAGGAGGAAGCTCAGTCTGCATCCATCCCAGGCACTCCGATGTGGGATGTGGTTATCCCAGGTGGCAGCTTCACTCAAGTACCACACACCCACACTGGCATTTCGTTTTCTAGAAACCGAATGGATAGGGACCGATGTTCTGGCACAACGGGCTGAGCTGGCATCTGTGACGCCAGCATCCCATATGGGCACCAGTTCAAGTCCTGGCTACTCTACTTCTGATTCAGCTCCCTGCTAACGTGCCTGGGAAGGCAGTGGGTGATGACCCAAGTGCTTGGGCCCCTGCACCCTCATGGGAGACCAGGAAGAAGCTCCTGGCTTTGGCCTGGCCCAGGCCAGCCCTGGCCATTGGCAGCCATCTGAGAGAGAACCAGAGGTTGGAAGCTCTCTCTCTCTGTTTCCCCTTCTCTCTCTTTGTAACTCTTTGCCTTTCAAAAGAGTAAATAAGTCTTTAAAAAAGAAAGAAGTCAAATGGATGAACAAATAGCTGTTTTAATACCTATCATAGAGCTTACTTAATTACTTCTTGAAGGGATTTTTAAAGAAAAGGAAGGCTGACTTACATACAGTAAGTGCACAGGTCTGGGGCCTGCAGATGAACGAGGTCTTATGAATATTTACACCTGGGCAGCCGCCACCGAGCTGCAGGGGATGCAGCAGCTGCAGCCCCAGGAGATCCTCTTGTGTCGGGGCTCAAGGCCACTGACCTCTGTCAGCTTAGATGAGTTTTCCCTGTCTTTAAAGATGTACAGCACGTGTTGAATTTCTTTCTCCGTGTTTACTTTGTGACTATAAATAAACTTCGGTTATTTGTAAAAGATAGTTGTATTTCATAACTAATAGTTAGATCTGCCCTTTCTAGAGTTGGAGATTTTTGCTTTAGATAGACACGTCACAATCTCATGGCCTTGAGTTTAGGAAGTGCTTACGGAAGTGGCATTTAGGAATAAAGTGGTACGTCTGAGACTGGCTCCGAAACGGCTCAGAAAGTGTTCTCAAGGTTAGAGAACGAAAGAGAAGGCGGATACAGGCGTGGTGAACGTGCGTGTTTGGAATATTTGAGTGAAGGGTTCTTGTACCTTTTCTGTAAGTCTAATGTTATGTCAGTATAAAAAGTTGAAAATACCCTGATTTCATTTTTACTGTTATTTCTGTTTTTCTTGGATTTCTGAAAATGTAGACACCACATATGACTTGTTTAGCTAACCCTTTGTGCTCATTTTGGAGCTCTGGTTGTAAATTAAGGTGATAAAACGCCAGAATTCCACGTGACAGTGTGTTTGCCTGTGTGGACCACCTGTCGGCCACAGCTGTTTGGGAAGGGAAACCCTCTCTCCCAAGCTGCAGGCCTCCTGCCCTTTCTCAGTGGCTAATAGACTGTGTTTATTCCAGGTACATGAGTAGACCAGTGATGAGTGGCCCGGGACTCTATGACCCCACAACCATCATGAATGCAGATATTCTAGCATATTGTCAGAAAGAAGGATGGTGCAAATTAGCTTTTTATCTTCTAGCATTTTTTTACTACCTATACGGGTAAGTTTAAAAAGGTGAAAGTATGATTTTCCTTTGCTGCCCCCCAAATTTGCAGGCATTCTGGTCTTAGTACCCTAATTAGAGTCCACTTGACGAATAACTGCGTGTCTTGAGCAGTGGTGACTGGTAATGGCACAGTTCAACATGCCACGCGCTGGTGCTCGCCCCAGCAGGCAGCTGGTGTCAGCAGTGGCTGGGTGCTGCTTGCCGCAGGCTGTTCAGACACCGTCACTTGGGAGAGGACAGTCTTCGCTGTCCGCGCCAAGTGCTGGCGTTGAGGGGATGGGACTGTGTGTGTACAAAGAATGTTTCTGCTGGGAGCTGGCGTGTTGATGCTTTCCTCCGTGTTCTTCGTAATCTGTGTGCACTGCCCTTTATTTCCTGGAGTGTTTGATTGGAGTGGGATGAGTGAATGAAAGCGCTCTGCCTTACGGGGCGGCGAGTTACCAGTGGATGGTGTCCTTGTCCCTTTAGGTTAAGGTTTCTCAGCTTTGGCACTGTTGACATTGTGGGCTGGGTAATTCTTTGTTGTGAAAGCTGTCCAGGAGAGTTAGCCGCATGCCAGGCCTCTACTGATTATGTGCCAGTAGTGCCCCTGCCCCAGTCACACAACCAGAAATGTCTCTGGGCATTGTCAGATGCCCCATGGGGCAAAACTGCCCTGGGTGAGAAGCTCTGGTGTACTTATGTGCTGTAAAATGGCTGCTTATTAAAAGCAGACAAGGACATGGTTAAGCGTGGAATCAGAGTGATGCTTTAAGCTGTGTAAATATAGTAGAGCTCTCCCCTCATTTTCAAAATATAAAAATATTAGCTGTGCACAATGAAATTGAAGAGCTAATGGAATTCCCATTCCTTTCCTTTTGTTACTGGAAGCTTGATGAGAATTCTCACCTCAGCACTGCGCTATGTCGTATGTGCCGGTGAGAGCCCCGCCAGCTGGTAATAAAATCCTCTTGCTGCTTGTCAGTGGAAGAATGAGAATCCCTTAGTGCAGCCACAGGTGCTTCTCAGATATGCAGCAAAGGTAGCGAGCAGGTTCTGAAAAGTGAAAATTCATGTTATTCTAACTCCAAGTTAATTTTCACTTTTGACGTTCCTGTAACAAGTGTGTAGAACAGTACTGCTCTGTAGTGAGCACTTAAACTTGCTGAAAGGAAGAAAAAAATGAATGATCAAATGAACTATAAAACTGGAGATGTGGGGCTGGCGCTGTGGCGTAGTGGGTAAAGCCACCACCTGCAGCACCAGCATCCCATATGGGCGCTGGTTCGAGTCCCTGCTGCTCCACTTGGGATCCAGCTCTGCTATGGCCTGGGAGAAAGCAACAGAGGACGGCCCAAGTGTCTGGGCCCCTGGCACCCATGCAAGAGACCCTGATGAAGCTCCTGGCTCCTGGCTTCTGCCCGTCCCATTGCAGCCACCTGGGGAGTGAAAGAACAGACGGAGGATCTCTCCCCCACTACCCCGTAACTCCGATTTTCAAATAAATAAAACAGTCTTTTTTAAAAAAAAACAAAAACAAAAACAAACTGGAGATGTGCAGTTGTGGAAAATGTTCACAAGGTTGAGGCAGCACTTGGATGTTTGTTGCGTTTCAAGATTGTCTACCAAAGTTTGCTTACCGCCTTGCTTTGCGTTTCTGTTTAGAGATGTGTGCTTTGAGACATGTGCTTTTTGAACCATGCTCTTATGCCCTGCCTCCCTCACGCTTCATGTGAAAATTGCCCTTGGTAGTTGAAGCTGAAGTAAATGCTCACTGCCTTTTTTGCTGGTTTGTCCTGTTTTCTGTTGCTCTTGCTTAGAGCGCTTCTCTGATGGGAGTGTTCCTTAATTGTCCATTCCCTTCTATTAAATGGGAATAATGACAGTGCCTGCCTCCTAGGACTGCTTGAGTTACGTGAGGTGATGCCTGTGAGAGAGCTGGCATGGGCCTCACACGACCGGTGCCCTCCACAGATGTGCTCTGCTGGGCTGAGATGTGGCCCTGGGCACGGTGGCCTTTGAATTACTTCTCAAAGCCCTGGTCCCCATGGAGCTCTCAGCCGTGCTGCTTGCTTGCTAAAACTGGGAAGGAAATAAGGGACCATTACAACACTGCCCGCCGCCAAATCTTAGGGTAGGCGAAAGTCCACAGACGCAGATGAAGCTCCCATGTGAGTTGTCTCCGCTGCACTCTGCAGTGTGCAGTGTGACGCCGACGCAGCTTCTTGATGCGCTCAGGTTTGTAGGTTGCGTGCGTTGTAACAGCTCTTTTCTTCTTTGCAGCATGATCTATGTTTTGGTGAGCTCTTAGAACAACACCCAGAAGACGTGGTCCAGTTCAGTGCATGCAAAAAGCCACCACATGAAGGGATTCCTTCCAGCAAGATCCTGTTTCCAAGAGTAGCCTACGGAAGCTGATCAGTTACTTTCAAAATGACTCCTTATTTTTTAAATGTTTCCACATTTTTGGCTTGTGGAAAGACTGTTTTCATATGTTACATTCAGATAAAGAATTTAAATGGAATTACGTATAAATTAATATAAAATGATTACCTCTGGTGTTGACAAGTTTGAACTTGCACTCTTTAAGGAACAGCCATAATCCTCTGAATGATTGCATCAATTGCTGACTGTCCTTAGTCCATTGGAAGCATTTCTTTATAGGAACTCCTAGGGCTTATTTTGGTTTTATTGAAATGCCATCTAATTATAAATTAGCTGTAGATATCAGGTGCTTCTGATGAACTGAAAAAGTATATCTGACTTGTGGGAAACTTCATGGGTTTCCTCATCTATCATGTAGATGATTATGGATACACTTAGACAAATAAGAAGAGTGGGATTTTTTTCCCTTCGACTTGAATATTATCCCTGTATATTGCATGAATGAGAGATTTCCCATAGTTCCATCAGAGTAATATACTTGCTTCGATTCTTAAGCATAAGTGAACATGATATAAAAATGTATGCTGAATTATTTGTGAAGAATGCATTTAAAGCTATTTTAAATGTGTTTTTATTTGTAAAACATAAGTAAGAAATTGGTTATGCTTACTGTTCTAATCTGGTGGTAACGGTATTCTTAAGAATTTGCAAGTACATTAGATGTTCAGAATGGAATGAGAGAGAAAGCTGTATCACCATCCTGCTGTTCCTTTAGTGCAATACAATAAAACTCTGAAATTAAGACTTATTTTCAGTGCATTGTTTTAAAAATGACAAGTAGTGATTTTTTAAACTTGCTTCAATCTGTAACAAAGACCTATTACTGTCATTAGAGGAAAAACAGAACTGGAGAATATTATCCTGTAGTTTTTCTTAGAAATACCATGCCTGGATCTAAAATGCATGATTTTCAGACGGCCACGAGTGCTCCCGTCTCGTCCTCTGGGGAGGGCATCAGTGATGACGACAGGACGCATCCTTTCTCTTAACAGCTGAACAACATCAAGCACTTAGAATGTTTCACGTTTCTTTCTCCTTTCTGAAAGAGCTGGTTTTGAGGTAAAGGAGCTTGTCAGTTTGAAATGTTGCTGCTGCTTGCATGGCAGGTGAGTTGTGGCTAGCACGTGGTCGGAAGCATTCCTGGGCCTTATTTGGGACAAGGAAGTTCAGGTGGTTGAGGAGGATGCAAGTCCCCAGCAGAGGATCGAGAGAAGGAAAGCCACGTGCAGCATTCCCCGGGGCGATGGGGCGGTTACGGATGTGCCCGCGGAAGCCTTGCTCTAGGAGCTTCTCACTGGCAGAGCACCGCTGCGGTAGAATGCCTGCCCACCCCTGGGAGAGCAGCTGTTTCCAGTAGGGAGTGAGTAATTGGGCTGAGTATGTTGAAGAGGATGTAGAACCAGAGACTGGGGAGTCCAGCCATTTCACAGCAGGGATGCTCTGAGGATCTTGTACTTCATGGTCTGGAGACCAGCTTAGGGGAGTCTGACTGCTTGTCAGTTCAGCCAGTAAATCACTTAGCGAGCACTCGCTGGGCACTGATAGGAGCATTCAATTTCAGGCCCCCTCCCCTCCCTGCCTGCCCCAATGTGGGTACCCACTTCTCATTTTTCTTTCTTGTTCACAAGTACTTTGGAGCCTGAGTTCTGGCAAAGCCTTCTGTATTCCACATTGGTTTCCTGGGGCTCTTACCATAGTCTTCCTCTCCCAAGTATTCTCTTGAACCCCTCTTCTCCTAGGAAACACTACTTTATAAATTTTATCATTTTAATCTATTCTGGAATATTTTCCAGGATTAATGCGAGGTTTACTGGTCGGAAGGCACATTCGCGTGCTTCCAAAATTCTGATTCCTTAGGGGTGATTGACAGTGAGGTTCGCCCATCTCGGTGGAATGTTAGTTCCTGGGCAGGTGAGTGATTAGAAGGTTGAGCTGTGGGATGCTCTTGTCTACCTGCCTTTACCTTTTCCAGTGTGTTATGAAATTGAATCACCAAGAGAAAGCAGAAAGGAAATACTTGCGTCCAGCCATACCTGTTAGCGCTTTTCCTTCTTCGAATTTATCACTCCTATCAGTCTTCGGGGTGGCCCTGGCCTGCCCTGTGCCATGCCTGCGGATTCAGTCAAGCCAAGAGTGTGCGTTTGTAATCCTTTTCAGTTCCTATCCGATGCTCCCTGTGCAGTGACACCTGTTTATTGAGGTACTTTCTTCTCATAATCACTTGTGATATCTTATGCTTCTGTTGGCCTTTAAGAGCTTCAGAAACAGTTTTCGTTTTTGCCTGTTCTGTTGCACCATCTAAACCAACAGCTCTTGGTTCCTATGCTAGGACATACTCTTGAAGAATTTTTTAGATACTAAATGTGATCTACGTAGCAGTTCTTTAGAGTAACAGTATTCTATCATGGCAATGTGCCTCTTACTCAGTAAGGAGTTTGTATTAGTTTTCATCCCTGAAACAAATACCTGAAGAGAAGCTGCTTAACAGAGGAAGAGGGGTATTTTGGCTCACAGATTTGGAGGTTCACAGTCCAAGACTGGGTGACCCCACTGATCTGGCATCTGATGAGGAGGAATGCAGGCAGAGGAAGCAGCACGGAGCAAGCCAGAAGGCAGGGAGAACCTGCTGGTCCCCTGTGCCAGGGTCTCTCTGGGGGTTCCACCTCAGCAGTCTCATCCAATCTGGTCACTTCCCAAAAGCCACCTTCATAGAGCACAACTGGATTAAATCTCTACCTTTAATCTATGATTGGAGACCAAGCCACATGGACCTTTGGGGAACATCCAATCTAATGTCCACACTAGAGCAGGGTTGTGTGTTAGAATCTGTTTGTGCATATCTAAATGTCGGTAATGCTGTGTGATGGTTTTCATGATGCTCAGCTGCTTTCCCTACTTCCCACTCCAGGTTAGACGAGAATTGGTCCCAGGCTTTTGGACAGACTGCTCATTTGTTTGAAGTTTGAATTATTTTTCATATGAAGGGAAGTGATAGGAAATGACCAGACCGTCCACTTTTGATGTGTATTGAGAATTGGTAAACTGGTTAAACCATGAATGGCCAGCCCGATAAATTCAGATGCATGAACAGTGATTGTCAGAAGATAGCAAAGTGGGTGGCTGTGTGGATCATGTCTCATTTAAAGCTTGCCCACTGTTCTTCAATACTACTCATGCAAATATCTCTCATAAAGCTCTTCTCTGTGCTCCAAAACAATGTATCTTGAAAATGTCAATTACTTGCATATAAACAAAATAGAGCCGTATAAGCTTTGAAGCTGGACAGATATTTCCCTTCGTACAGCACTTCTCTTTTCCTCTGATTGTGTGTTTAGGAATAGTGCTCGTGAGATAGCACTGCCATGATGCAGGTGGCAGCTTCTGAGTACCTCTTGTGCCCTGCATGGAGAGCTCTCTTTAGGTGTGGCTCTATCAGTGAAATCTGACTTGGCAAATCCATTTAAGTCATGAAATGTATTTAAGAAGTATACATCTGTACTTCATCTGTGTCATTTAATATCCACAAATGTATATCTTTCAATAATCAGCTGGGTAGTAGAATTCTGTGTCAGAAATTTTGATGGCAAAAATATTTTAAAACACTTTTAGAAAGGATTGAGAAATATGGATGCTTTGTCTAGCATCGTTCATGGTAGTACTCATGTTCATCCTTTCTGGAAACAATGTCCGTCTCAAATAATTTTAAGCTCATTTTGCTCAAACCAGTCATTGATTGGCAGTCAGACCAGCAGCTAAGAAGTTTCTGGTACTAGTAATATAGCTTAGAAGATCATTCTGAACAAGTACTGTAGAGTGAAGCTGAAAGAAAAAACTTAATTCTGTTTCCGAATGTGTGACTAGCTTCCTTGTAACAATTTGACATTCAGAGCTATAAAGCTAAATGTCTAAAAGCAGTAAATAACTGCTGTGTGTTATGCTGGTTTTGGAGAAATAGTTCTAACTGTCTAAGATGTGGGGTTGAATTTGGTCCTGTGTTAACATACATTTGTGGAAGATGTAGAGAACATGTTGACATGAGTAAGAATGAATTCTCATATATGTCCATTTGTACAATGCTTTTAATCAGTATTTAGATCTCTTTGGTTACCATGTTTATGTATATTGGAGAAGAAAAATTTCTTAGATGTATGACTGGGTAGACCTTAAAACAACTAAGAGAAACATAAAATGTGGTTAGCTGTCTATCTGTTCCCCTTGTTTGTTAAAATCTGAGTTAACCTTATGGTGCTGTACCGCTGCCCAAAGAAATGCTGTTAAGTAGCCCTACCTTACTCCATAGAGCTTGCTTATTCTGCTTTTGTATATTTAATAAAAATTGTCTCAAATGTTTCCTTGTGAAGTTTATGGATAATGGTTGAGCATTTGTGTTAATTCAGTGTTAAATGCAGGCACCTCTGGTTTGTGTATGACTAGGACTCTGCACTTTCTCATCCCCCCACCACACACATTTTGGGGGATACACATAGGTTAGGCAAAAAAAATACTTTTCCTGGAATGTTGGAATTACATGTTATTAAACTGTACGATTCTATTCCAGCAGCGACACTCCCACAATATGTTATGGAATAATTGATGTTTTCCCTTATACTTAGTATTCATGTTAAGTTTATTCAAGTATTTCAGATGTTGAAGGCTTAATTACTACTTGTAATGAAAATTAAGAGATGCTTGTACTTTGAAAATTTGGTTATTAAAGGATTTAATTTTCCTAAGTGTTCATGAATAAGCTATATACTGGGAGAAAGCTAAGATTGCCAATGTCAATTTCAGTGACTAATAGAATATTGTGATTTTAAATTGTGTTTGTTCGTAAAACTAAAATCATGAAGATACCCAACCTTTTTTCTGCTTGCTCTTTGAAAAAGAGCTTTCTTCCCAGAGCATTTGGTATTTATCATCTGGGGTAAGACAGCCCTGGCTTAAGCATCTAGAACTGGGCTATGTGTCTGTCTTCCTTAAATCCTCGTACCATGTTCAGTTCGAGGAGCAGTATATGCACGCAGGTGTTAACTGTTGATTTTCTGTGACATCACTGGCATGCTCAGGTTCCCTGTCAGCAACTCCTAATTGTTCTGGAGTATTCCCTAGTGAAATTCAAGTAGTTCAGCAGCAGCAAGAGGAGTGTGAGCCTTGGTCCTGGTGTGACTTAGGAAGTCCATTTTGGTGTGGTGCGACTTTATCTTGTGTGGCAGTCCCTGAGTCTGCCACCCAGTAGCAACGGCCAGATGACCACTGGCTCCCATTTGTGAAGACTGGTGGCCATGAGAGGCCTGGGGCTGCAATTACTGCTCTCTCAAAACAGGTGTCTGACTTTCACGATGCTCGGCTAAAGCCAAATGACTGCTTTGGGTAGCTCAAAGTTGGATTTGAGGACAAAAAGATGGGTTTCAGTAGTAGAAGGTGAGGTGAAGGCAAGAACTGGAGATGCTAACCAGTGGCTGAGTACTTTATAAATAAATGTGAGGGAGGGATTAAAATCCGTCCATGTAGGTCCCTGGGTGGGGAAATGAATGTTCTAAAGACGGAGCAGCTGTCGCGAGCCCAGCAGGCCCTCGTCTCCGGAGAATGTTCCAGCACATGCTGGACAGACACCTGTGGGGACCCATCCAGCACTGGGGTGGGGTGGGGGACTGGAGGACTCAGGACTCCTCAGCACTTCACTAAGTCCGTGAAGTAGAGAAAGCAGACAGGGACATTTGGGAGGAATAGTGGATGGGAGTTACTTAAAGACAAGTGTGAGTATGCATACAAAACTACTGGGTCATATGCCACCCAGTATTTCACTATGGTACCAACAGTAAAATGACGTAAAGCTGTGGCAAGTAATAAAAATATGCAAATATTTTTCCACATATCTTTTTTGGGTATTACCTCCAGGTAAAATATATTGGAGCAGCCAGTACATTTCTAAAAGGAAAACTCTATCCCTTTGATATAAGAGGAAAGAGACAGTGATTTTTGTCGAAAGCTTTAGGAATATCTGCACATATACATTGACATTCACATTGATAACACTAGAATATTCATTTCAGTACAAATTAGAGAACTCAAATTTCAGACATGGTCACAGATAAGCTCTTTGAAATTCTTTATCTCGATACAGATCTTGAGAGTGAATCTCTTGATGATAGATGTGCAGCTAGTTTGTCCCGGAACTCGTGAAGATAATTGTATTGCTGGAAAGAAAAAAGAAGCATTGAGGTAACACTGTAGGAAACCGGTCCCCAGTGGAGCCACAATACTAGCAGGTGTCAGCCATCAAAACACTTGCTGAGGATAATCCTACATCTGTAGGAAAGGAGGCACTGGTACCCCTGGGGAAGCTTTAATAAAGCCACCTACATTGTGCAAAGCTATTGCTTAACAAAACATACAAATCAGAAGAGCATGAAGTACAGATGTTTTCTAAGTCTGTAAAATCCTTTCCCTCGTAGGAGTGGGGAGCTTTTATCCCCCCTCCTCCCGCGGCTGAGGGCTATTTGGATATTTGTAACAACGTTCACAGGCCATAGAGAGTGATAACTTACCTTAGCCTGCTCTAGATGTACTGAATTGAGTCTCACCTCCGGTTGCCTTGGCAGGCCCAGACCAAATGCCTGCGGGCCTTCTAGGGGGTGCGGGCTGTGTGTTCCCCAGCCCTGTTTAGTGGCAGGACCAAGTAAGATGAGAAATAGTACAGAAAGGGATTGTCCTGCTACTGTTCTCCAACCTGGGAGCAAGCAGGGAGGAGAGGCCACTTTGGGTAGCAGTTAGTGGTGGCATCGATACAGAAGTCTTTTCTTAATTTATAGAAGCAAGCCCTAGTCTTTTGCTGTTTGCGGTGATGACATAACCCATTTGGGACAATGTTTGTAGATAGTTGCTTTAAAAAAAATCACTAATCTCAATAAGCAAAATAAGTGCTTTAAATAATTTATCTGGAGTTTAAATAGCTTCCCAAAGGCTCTCTTTGGCTTTGCCAATCATCTCATTCGATGTTATGGAGCAGTGGAGACAGCACGAGCTAACACATCCGCACAGAAAGACCTAGAACCCATCTGCCACGGGATGCCTGGGTAAGACTGAGTCTCATTGATGGTGGCTTTGTTCTCCCCAGTGTCAAAGATGGGACACATGCATATTTGTACATAGATTTCACCATGTGATTTGCTTTGTTTCCTGGAGAAGAGACTTGAACTTCTTGGATTTGAAGCATTACTTGATTTTAACCTAATAAGAGGCATTGTTTTGCAGATTGTACAGTGACATGGATCCAAATATAACGGGACCTTTACATCTTTTTGGCCAAAAGTCTACTTAAGAAACTCTCAAGTTTATAGGAACCATCTCATTATTCCAAGCGAAAGGATCCATTCCCAGAGCTGCATGGGACAAAACCTGAGCAGTAGTAGATCCCGGAAGAGTGCAACAAGTGCAGGTGTTTTCAGTACTTGGCTTGAAATGCCGTGAGCTTTTGTAGGTATCTGGGTTATTTTATGATGTAAATTAAAAAAAAAAAAAAAAACAAGCAGGTGGTCCGTGGATTTTCATCTCCCCACCCTTTGGGTTACTGTTACCCTGGATTTGCCACAGTCTGCCCGAGACACAAGCACACAAGCACGGTCAGCGCCTCACCTTTATGGTCTGGATGGCCCCGGATCCTCTCAGGTCTCGCAGGCTGTCTATGGCTTGTTGTGGCGATACGCTGTCAGACAGGTAGAGTAGGAGACAGGCGGCTACTAATAGGACATGGCAGGAAAATATGATCAACTAACTGGTCATACAGTGGTGTACATACATAGTACATACATACATTGTACATACATACATTGCTATATACATACATACATTGCTACAGGGGGCTGTGGTGTAATTGCTGCAAATGAATTAAGATTGTGTGTTTTGGACAGTTAAATTATGACCTGAAATGACTGTGTTTGAATTAAAGTTTACCCCTGGCTTCATTCTTTCTTTTGAAACTATATTGAGGTATAAATAATTCAAATGCCATCTAGTTGATTCTTTTAAAGGGTGCAACCCAGCGCCTTTTTGGAAAATTTTCATCATCTCAGAAAGAAATCCTGCACCCTTGTTGTCACCCTGCCTTGTCCCATCAACCCTGCGCTTAGCAACCACTAATGTACTTCCTGTTCCAATAGACTGTCCTGCCTGGACATGTCACGTAAATGGACTCTTTCGATATGTTATCTTTTGTGACTGACTTCACTTACCATGTGTTCAAGGTTCACACACGTGAGGGACCTTCAAAAAGTTCATGAAAAAATACATATGAAAAAATGACACATGGGTTTCAAAGAAACATCTTTAAAAATTTATTAATTTATTTGAAATGCAAAGACACAAAGAGATTCATTTAATGGCGCAGTCTTCAAATGCCTGTGACAGCCATGGCTGGGTCAGGCTAAAGCCAAGAACCTGCAACTCAATCTGGGGCTCCCACATGGGTGGCAGGGACCCAACTTCTGTGGCATCATTGCTGCCTCCCAGGGTCTGCATTAGCAGGCAGCTGGAGTCTGGACGGAGCCATGACTCCAACCCAAGCCCCCGATACGGGAGATGGGTCACTCACTGGGGGCTTAATAGCTCAGGGAAATAAATGCCATGCTCGTTTCATTTCTCCATGAACTTTCTGAAGCACCCACCTGTTGTGGCACTTATCCACAATTGACCAAATAATATTACCCAGTGTGGACACAGCCACATCACATTGTGTTTACCCAGGTGTCAATGGGCACTGAGGCTGCTTCCATTTTGGCGGGGGTGGGGGGGCCTGTTATGATGAATGCTTCTCTGAGCACTCAGGTTCAAGTTCTTATGTGAACGTGTGTTTCCATCTCAGGTTCAAGTTCTTATGTGAACGTGTGTTTCCATCTCAGGTTCAAGTTCTTATGTGAACGTGTGTTTCCATGCCTCTCTGGTGTGGGCCAAGGAGTGGCAGTGCTGGCTCATGTGGTGCCTCCATGTCTAACTTGGCGAGTGATGGCCATACTCTGCCAGAGAGCTGCACCTCTGTTCTCCCCCACCAGCAGTCAGGGAGGGCCCGGGACCTCCACATCTCCTCCACTATTGGTTGTTTTCCACTTTTTGACAATAGCCACCCTAACGGGTGTAGCAGTGGCGTCCACTGTGGCTTGATTTGCATTTCCCGGATGGCTAATGACCTCCAGCTATCTTTTCATGTGCTGCTTGTTAGATATTTGTGTGTTTTATTCGGAGGAATGTTTATTCAGACCACTGGCCTGTTTTTAAATTGGGTAGTTTGTCTTTTTATATTATGAGAGTTCCTTATATATTCTGGATACAAGACCCTTATCAAATACATAGTTTTAAAATATTTTTTCCCATTCTGTGGGTAGGCTTTTCATTTCGGTAGTGTCCCTGGAGACACAAAAGTGGTTCATCTGGATGCTGTTCAACCCTAAAAGGGATAACTCACTCCACGAGGGGACTTCATGAGTTGATTTTGCTTTTTCCAGCACATTAACATTTAAAAAAATATATATAGTAGTGCACTTTGGCTTTGATACTTGGGACACTCCTGGGTACTTTTTATTTAGAAGTTACTGTCAGTGTCATGATTCCTGCGCTGGGAGAACATTTGAAAGAGTAATGTCACTTCTAAGATGTAAATTGGGTTTTCCCACTCCCACCCAGGCTTTCTGCGGGAACACAAAGTGTGTAGGGCCTTAAATAATCTTCTGAGTCTCAGCATCTTGTTCCAGTCTACAGTGAACATATGGCTCAGAAACAGGAGTTTGCCTACTTTGAGGTTAAAAAAAATAATGAAAATACATTTCTTACCAAGACAAGATCTCCCAAGTCCACCATAACAGCTGAAAGGGAAATACAGTTTTGAAGTTTGTACATTTTCATTCCATCACAAGTTACAACGAAAGACTTGCGCCTTCTGCCTGCTGTTTATGTGTCTTTAATGCCTAGCACAATGTCCTATACACAGAGATTAATCTTTTAAAAATCAAAGGCAAAATGTGTTTATTTGTTGGAAGCTATTCTGAAAAACTCTAAGTCAAGATATAGGGCCTTATGACTTAATAAAATGTTCTTTTAAAGTTTATTTGAGAAGGAGGGAGGGAGAGAAAGAGAGAAACAGAGAGAACTCTCATCTACTGGTTTGCTCGTCAAATGTTCATGATGGCTGGAGCCAGGTTGGGCCAAAGTTGGGAGCTGGGCACCCAATCCAGGTCTCCCCTGTGGGTGGCATGAAGCTAAACATGGGAGCCATCACCTGCCACCTCCCAAGGCCCACATTTTGCAAGGAGCTGGAGTTAGGAGCCAGAGGTGGGGAATGAAAACCAGGTACTCAGATGAGGGTGGCGGATGTCTTCGCCACTGGGCTAAACACCTGCCCTGATTGACATTTTGAATCGCTGAGACCCACGTCTGAGAACTGGAGTCTGTTGGGAAGTAGACAGAGGCAGACTATTTTAACCACCTGCCACTTTATTTCCCCTGTGTAAACAAAACTGAGTGGGCACAGGACAAATGCTGTCCTACAGTAACCCTTCCTTTATGTGAACAGCGTGCGGGGTCCCCCTGCTGTGGGCTCCGTCCTATACCCAGCATTTGCTGGATGTGGGAGGCCTCCCTGGACGCCAGCAACAGTGTGCACACTGGAGTGTGGATTCAATGAGGCAGCCTTTGCAAAAGGCTGCGAAGACAGCGTGGCGCAGAGGAAGAAGTAAATGGGTGCTTGTCGCTATTATCTGGCATTGCAAAGAAATTAGCAATTCCAAAAAATGAGGTTTAACCCTCGAAGCAGCAAAACCATTCATTTTAATCATTTTCAAAATTCGTAGAAAATGCACTGCACATTTCCTGACTTGTTCACAGAGGGGTTATGCTTAACCCAGCTTAGAGTTGACTTAGCACAGACACCAGCTACCACAGTGTTAAGCATACAGCAGGCAGAGCTGTAGATACAGCCTGCTGTGGGATGTGAGATGGAGGACCAGACAGGGACTGACCCCTAGTTACTCCTGACCTTGCTGGCTACAATGTGTCCCAGGTGGAGGCCTGTTGCCGAGACCTGGATCTACCGTGTAAAGGTAGAGGTATAGTACTAGCTTCCTGTACCTTAATCCTACTTTCTCCTTTGCCACTTTCATCTTCCTCCTGTTTCATAGATCCCTACTTATTTTTCAAAACCCAGTTCAGATTTCATCTCCTAACATACTTGTGCCTCTACAGGAATGATGGCTGGCTGGTGCGCTGCCTCCCCCATGTCCACACTGTGTGCAGATCTTACTGTACTTGTGTGGTAGTCTCGTGTTAGCTGTGTGTGTGTGTGTTAGGGGGAGGCAGGGAGTTGGGGTTTCCCTGAGATTGGGGACAGGGCCTCACTCTGCAGTCTCAGGGTTTGGTACACACACGTGGGTTGAATTACAACTCCCTGAGAGTGAAGCTCTTCTCACTGGCGCGTGTGAGTGTGGCCTCACTGGGAAGGAGAAAGAGTCTTGACAAATGTGATCAAGTTAAGACAGGGTCATTAGGGTGGCCCCTTATCCAATATGAGTAGTGTCCTTGTAAGAGGGAGACACCATGTGTAGACACAGACACACAGGGGAATCATGAGATAATGCAGCTATGAGCCAAGGGCCACCAAGGGTTGATGGCCACCACTGGAAGCTAGGACGAGGCCGGAAAGGAGTCCACCCAGTGTTACAGGGAACCTGGCCCTGTTGACACCTTTGGTTTGGACTTCCGGCCTCCTGAGCTGAGAGAAGATGAATGTCTGTGTTTTAAGCTGCTTCTAGGTATTCTGTTACAGTAGCCCACGAGGCCACACTGTGATGCAGGATGCAAGCAGTGTCCAGTGACTTTCTATAGGGCTGAAACTGCCCTGGCAGACCCAGTGGGGTGGCACTGGTCCACATCAGGACAAAAGCTACCAGACTCTGTTTCTGAGGGAGAGGCTCCCCAGCTCCTGGATTTGTAGGCTGGAAGAAGGCAGAACGAGGGAAGAGTGTCCTTAGCCAAGCCATGCACGGTGGGACATCTTTGAAAGCTCCAAGTCAATAAAAAATCCAGGTCATCAGATGCCCAGAATGTTCAACATGTGCCAGGCCACCCACCCGTCTGTCCATCCCATTTGGGTTGTGCTCAAGTATCAGAGCATTTTGTTTGCCAGAGCCTGTGGGAGTGGAACCCGTGGAGCTTCCATAACTTGGGCTGGTTCGAGCTCTGGAAACTTTTCAGTAGAAGCTGCTTTCAAAAGTGTATTTGGGGCTGGCGCCGCGGCTCAACAGGCTAATCCTCCGCCTAATGGCGCTGGCACACCGGGTTCTAGTCCTGGTCGGGGCGCCGGATTCTGTCCCGGTTGCCCCCCTTCCAGGCCAGCTCTCTGCTGTGGCCAGGGAGTGCAGTGGAGGATGGCCCAAGTGCTTGGGCCCTGCACCCCATGGGAGACCAGGAGAAGCACCTGGCACCTGGCTTTGGATCAGTGCGGTATGCTGGCCACAGCGCGCTAGCTGCGGCGGCCATTGGAGGGTGAACCAACGGCAAAGGAAGACCTTTCTCTCTGTCTCTCTCTCTCTCTCTCACTGTCCACTCTGCCTGTCCAAAAAAAAAAAAAAAAAAAATGTATTTGGTGGGCTGGCACTGTGGCATACAAGATTAAGCCTCTGCGTGCAGTGCTGGCATCCCATATGGGCACTGGTTCAAGTCCCAGCTGCTCCACTTCTGATCCCGCTCCCTGCCAATGGTCTGAGAAAGCAGCAGAAGATGGCCCAAGTCCTTGGGCCTCTGAATCCATGTGGGAGACCTGGAAGAAGCTCCTGGCTCCTAGCTGCGGTCTGGCCCAGCACTGGGTGTCATGGCCATTTTGGGAATGAACCAGAAGAAAAATGTACTTGAAAAAAAAAAGAGGACAAATCTCAGAATGATTTAAAAAAATAGATATAAAAATTGGAAAGCATTTTTCACTGTCTACATCAAACTGTCCAATACCATTCTGCCTGTACTTATCAGAAAATGCAGTACAGGTAACTGTATCATCCCGAAATCTCACTTTTACAAGAGATGACGCTCTCTCTAGGCCGGCGCCGCGGCTCACTAGGCTAATCCTCCGCCTTGCGGCGCCGGCACACCGGGTTCTAGTCCCGGTTGGGGCGCCGGATTCTGTCCCGGTTGCCCCTCTTCCAGGCCAGCTCTCTGCTGTGGCCCGGGAGTGCAGTGGAGGATGGCCCAGGTGCTTGGGCCCTGCACCCCATGGGAGACCAGGAGAAGTACCTGGCTCCCGCCATTGGATCGTGAACCAACGGCAAAGGAAGACCTTTCTCTCTGTCTCTCTCTCTTACTGTCCACTCTGCCTGTCAAAAAAAAAAAAACAAAACAAAACAAAAAAAACACACACACAAGAGATGACGCTCTCCCTTGAGATCACTTGGAAAGAGGCAGCTGTTGGAGGGCTTCTAAGAGTTCTTTGTTCTCTACCCTGCGAGCCTGAGTTTGCCATGTTCCAGTTTGGTTTATTCACAAACAGGTGTACATCGCCAAAGACCCTGGGACAGGGGGTCTGCCTTCAGAACTGGCGCTGGCAAGAGGCCCGGGAGAGAGGGTGGCTGCACTTGTCCTGCAACCACACAGCCATTGCTCAGTGTGTACATCGGCGGCTGAAAGCCATGGCCTTAGGGACCTCGGGGCATTTGAGGGGTCGAACTAGGTACTCTCCTACCTTGGTGCAGAAAGGATTAAGTGGTGCCCAGGAGGCACAGCAAGGACTGGCTTCTCGCCGCGGGCTCACCCTGCCCCCGGCACATCTCCCCTCTGCACGTCTCCCCTCTCCTTGTCTCCCCTCTCCTCGTCTCCCTCTGCACCTCTCCACTCTGGCAGGTGCAGGATCTCCTGCCCGCTGCCACACGCTTTGTCTCTTCTCCAAATGACTGTTTTCTTCGCAGTTTCCCCCCCTTTCCTAATTCATCTTACTTTATTCTACACTTCCATACTGGCTGCCTGTGTCTTCATAGCCATGGACAGATGATGAGAATTTCTCTTTCGTTCTGGGAGCAAATTCTTATCAACGAAAGCGATTTTCAAGCCAAACCAACATTGCTCCTAGCTTTTTTCTGTGCTGCTAGTTTTGAAAAAAGATGGACCTGCTTGCTGGGAAAAGTCACGGAGCAACTGAGCTGGTGGCTGATTAGTGAGGTGTTGTTATAGAGCAGCCACGTGCCACCTTGTGGGGGTGGGGGCGGGGAGGCTCCCCAAATTACAACTCAAGGGCAGGGACAAGAGGAGAGAAAAACAAGCCTGCACCCCTAACCCTACCCACTTCTGGCCTTCCTCTTGGAATGCAGGAACGAACAACACTGAGAGCCTTGCATTCCGCTTTTCACGGGTACACCCTCTCCACCTTGTAACCCTAAGCGAGAGGCCGGGGGCCACCCGGGCCGCGGTGATCAGAGCTCATCGGGGGCGTTTTCCCGGGGGCGTGGGGAGAGGAGGACGTACTGTATCAGGGTTTTGCGGTTGTTTTTGAGGCAGGCTGCAAGCTCCTCCATGATCTCGCAGCAGCGGGCAATGTCGGGCGTGCCTCCGTCTGGGATCGGGTGGTGGTGGGTGGCGATGCCACACTGCTCGTAGAGCTCCAGGAGGTTCGGGACTCTGTATTTTGACAGTTCCCCTCGGGTGCAGAAAACAAATATGTCCTGGATCCCACAGCTCTTTAGTTCTTCTGCGACAGAGCAAGGCATACACGGACACACAGACAGAATGCGACACGGAGTTAACTTTCCTACACCGAGCTAATGACAAATGATCGTCTGTGAATTTGAGAATACACACACACACACACACACACATATGCTGCAATAGTCCTAAGATCTCTAGTGCTTAAAAACCCTTAAGAAGGAATGATAACACGTTTGTTTCTTTTTGTCACAAAATCCACCACGTTGGCTACTTCATCACCCTGCTGTCTGTTTTGTCCCAAGCATTGTATATAAAATCCCCGGCAGGGCCCATGGTACCAGAGCTCTGGCATTCTCATCTTATACTGTTCTGCACCATGCTGTATTTAATTTTATGGGCTTTTTTTTTTCTAAAAAAAAAAAAAAAAATAAGGCCTGAACTGTATTAAACTTATGCGAGTTAGCTATTATCAGCATAATGACATGAACCATGAAATCTGGCCACAAGCGTCCTATCCACTGGACTGCCTATGGCAGTAATCATCCTGGATCCTTTGGTTCAAAATGAATCTGGCTGTTTCAAGCCCTCTCTTCTTTCCTTGATCTTTAAGTCCAAGGTCATTGAGCTTTCTAAGTTCCAAGTGTCTTTCCTCATGCCCTTGGAAGGTGGCTAGTCCAAATGGAGATGCACTGTGTTGAACCCCCCTGAACACAAACTGCACAAACATTAAGTTGCTTTATATGTAAGACCTGGTGAGATGATGATATTTAAAATCTATCAGGTTAAATAAAATATTATTCAAAAATAATTTCACCTGCTTCTACCCTTTTACTGTGGCAGCTAGAGAATGCACAGTTGCTTGCATGGCTTCTGTTTGTGGTTCCCATGATGTTTCTACTGGACACTGCTGCTCTAGATAAAACAGTTGTATTTTTGTGCTTGTGAAAGAGTGAAACCTGCCGTTAACATATCTTATCAGTTTTAAGAGAGTAGGTAATTTCCTGTTTGCCTCTTGGCTACTTTCCTAGGAAGGAGTCTGAGGCAGACCCCAGGAACTGCTGGAGGGAGAGGCTAGGTCTTCCCCATCAATCATCTGGATCTGTTTTCTGTATTGGACTCATTTACTATTTCTTGCAAAAATAAGTTTTTATAAAAAAAATTGGAAGATCCCTCTGAAGAATGAATAGGGCATTCCAAAATGGGTTAGCTTGGCCTTGAGCCAGTGATTTAAATTATATGTTGCTTATTATGGCTTACATGTTCTCCAAGTAGAAATTCCCTACCACGATGGATGTGTCTTAAGCTGAAAATCTTTATAAATACTGCAAGGGCCAACTAATCTGTTAGCCTTTTAAAGTCTCTTTTCATGGATATGGACTATATTAAAGAAAGCACATTGGCAAACCAGGAAATATCTGCAAGATTTAAAAAGTTGGGCCTGTGCTGTGGCTTAGCAGGTAAAGCTGCTGCCTGCAGTGCCAGCATCCCATATGAGCGCTGCTTCGAGTCCTGGCTGCTCCACTTCTTTTTTTTTTTTTTTTTTTTTTTTTTGACAGGCAGAGTGGACAGTGTGAGAGAGAGAGAGAGAGAGAAAGGTCTTCCTTTTGCCGTTGGTTCACCCTCCAATGGCCGCCGCTGCAGCCGGCGCACCGCGCTGATCCGATGGCAGGAGCCAGGATCCAGGTGCTTTTCCTGGTCTCCCATGGGGTGCAGGGCCCAAGCACCTGGGCCATCCTCCACTGCACTCCCTGGCCATAGCAGAGAGCTGGCCTGGAAGAGGGGCAACCGGGACAGAATCCGGCGCCCCAACCGGGACTAGAACCCGGTGTGCCGGCGCCGCAAGGTGGAGGATTAGCCTATTGAGCCACGGCGCCGGCCGTGCTCCACTTCTTTTGATCCAGCTCTCTGCTATGGCCTGGGAAAGCAGTGGAGGATGGCCCAACACCTTGAGCCCCTGCAACCACATGGGAGATCTGGAAGAAGCTCCTGGCTCCTGGTTTCATATCAGCGCAGCTCTAGCCACTGTGGCCATCTGGAGAGTGAACCAGCGGATGGAAGACCTCTCTCTCTGCCTTTGTCTCTCTGTAATTCTGCCTTTCAAATAAATAAATAAATATATTTTTTAAAAGGGCCACTTTAAAAAATAAATAAATAAAAGTATACTGGTCAGAATCAAGCAGTATATGTTTGTATTTTGTGTTATCAGGACCTTGGTAGAACTAACAGCCTTGAGATATTCCAGGCCAGCTGGAATTAAATATTTTTTAAAAATCACATTTGTTAGTATCATGCAACATGTAAATTCCAAATTGGGGTGGACTATGGGGATTACTGGACAGGAGGCACGCAACAGTCAGTTCACGCCCTCTGTCTTTCCTGGATCTCTGCATTCTCTACCCAGGATGGATTTCACTGCTACCTCTGAGTTCCCAGCGTGAGTGGATCTCTACCGCCATGGTCAGGTGTACAAGAAGCCCGTGTTCAAAGATCTGGGTGGTGCCCTATGCTACTTCCTATTGGCAGACGTCCGTCCTCTCACTCACACGGCCTAGCCTCCAGTGTGGTTCATGTCTAACAGGGAACAGCCACCATCAGTGGAAAGCCAGGCCACGCTTGTGCCCATCACAAACACCTCTTCGTATATCAGAGTAAGCCCACGGTGGGAAACTTCACAGAATATTGAACATTTATTCGGTAGACTGAGAAGAAACTTCGGTTGGTGACCTTTGACAAAGGGATTTTCTGTGAGTACTTAAAAACCTATTAGTATGGTTGTCTCTTATTACACCTACCTGTATCTTTTCCAATATTTCTTCTAACATCTTTAAATTTACAACCTATAAGTAGTAACAAGGCAAGTAAAGACGTCAGTTTCTGGTCACATAGAAACAATATATTTAAACATACATACAGCTACTTTAGAACACCATTCCACAGGATCATTTACATGTTTAATTCTGTTGTGAATGCAAATTTCAATTTCTTGTATTCTTAGGAATATGATTACGAGGCTTCACAGATCCCAGCTGAAGGAGCTCCTGTGAAGGATTCCTTCTGTGCTGTCTCTGTACCCAGCACCTGGCTGCTGTCTGTCTCACCTGCACCCCAGGGCTTAAAGTGTCCGAAAACAGATAACCCAGAAGCGCAAATCTGGGAGGCCGAGAGTGGATTCACTCCTTATCTAGGGGCACCGTGGGGCTCCCAGAAAGCACCTGAGGGCCGATGGTCTATGGAATTCTCTATTGCTCAGTACAGAGATCCAAGTGTTAGCTGATGGAAAAAAAAATTGTCCTAAATCTACTAACAGGAAGACAAATAGAGTTTGACCCACCTGGAAGAGCACATAAACCGAGAAACTGTGACCAATTCACTCGGGACAGAGATAGCCTGAAAAAGAGACATTTATCAAGCTTTGTCCAAATTAAAAAACAACAAAATTAGAAAAGGAAATTTAATTTAAATAACATGTGAGTGCTTGCCAATGAATAAGGGTGTTTTAAAGTTTCACAGCAGTCACACAAAAAATTCAGAGTTAATATCAATGTGTTGGTCATGAAAAAAAAAACCTAGAAAAACAACATTTTAAAATTGGGACTTACCATTTTAGTTTGTCACTATTTAAATCTTTAAAACAGCAAGTTCATTCAATTTTACCATAAAGATACTCATGCTTAAGTTGTCAACAGGTAATATACCGTGTATTTCAGCCATTGTGTGGTTTGTTACCTGGGACACTTCGTGTTAGGAACCTTAAGTCAATGAGCTGGAATAAAGGGCCACCTGACAGTTTCGGCCCCAGCATTCATTCTGCATTTCCTACTTTCAGATTCTTCTGCAGGACTTCCTTAACAGATATGGTGTCAATGATTTCCTATGATGAAGCCACAGGTTACCCTCTGCTTGTTGCAATGGATGTCGGTTAAAATGAAATCACTTCAGAGCATCCTATTACAAATTTGCAGGGCTCGGAAACACAGGCTCCCCTTGTCTGCCGAGTCAGAGGATGAATTCGGGGGGAAACAGGAAAGCAGCATACAAATATCACCTGCCTTTGAAAATGAGACGAGCACTTAAGTTTAAAGATGGAGTCTGGAGGGGGAGTGACAGCTGTGTGGCAGCAAGACAGAACTTTAGGGACGTCAGTGTGGCTGGGCTTTTTCTCTTCAAAATTTTACAGGTGGAGCGTCCCTGATGGAAAAATCTGAAATCCCAAATCTGAAGCTTTTTGAGCACTGGCACTCAACCAGGAAAGGCCATGCAAATATTCCCACATCCCCAAAAATCCAAAATCTGACACACTTCTCATCCCAAGTGTTTTGGATAAGATACTCAATCTGAACAGTGGGTAGAAGAGAATGAGAATCACTGAAGTATTTTCTTTCTTTCTCTCTCTCTCTCTCTTTTTTTTTTTTTTTTTTTTTTACAGGCAGAGTTGGACAGTGAGAGAGAGACAGAGAGAAAGACCTTCCTTCCATTGGTTCACCCCCCAAATGGCCGCTACGGCTGGTGCGCTGAGCCGATCCGAAGCCAGGAGCCAGGTGCTTCTCCTGGTCTCCCATGGGGTGCAGGGCCCAAGCACTTGGGCCATCCTCCACTGCACTCCCGGGCCACAGCAGAGAGCTGGCCTGGAAGAGGGGCAACCGGGACAGCATCTGGCCCCCCGACCGGGACTAGAACCCTGAGTGCTGGTGCCGCAGGCAGAGGATTAGTCAAGTGAGCCGCGGCGCCAGCTGAAATATTTTCAATATGTGGACTATAATTCCACAGAAATCAATGTAATGTCAAATAATTTAGCTCATCATGGATCAGAGCAGCTCACATACCATGATATCTGAATTGGAGTGTGTTCATCTTCAAGCGGCTCTTCATCTGATGAGTCAAACTCGCTTGTTTGTACTGAACTAGGCTTCAAAAGAAAAGTTATGTTAAAAAAAATGACACACTATTTACGTATCATTTTAGCATAGTGGATCCTTGCTTGCACATGCATTGAATATTTGCAATGTATTCAGTCATCAACCTGTACTATCAGAGACCAGCAATTTCAATAACGAGTGATTGCTATTTATCCCAGCATTGTGTAGTGGGAAGAGTTGGATTGCAAATCAAGAAATCTGGCTTCTGGCCCTGGCTCTGCCACTCACTGAATAATCTTGGAAAAGCCTCTTCCGTTCTTTTCTGGATCTGTTTTTCTCAACTATAAAATGAGGTGATTTATTCACAAACATTTCTTGGACACCTCCATTTGCCAAGCCTTGGAGATGGCAAAGATCCATAAAATCACTGCCAGCCTTCTGTCTAGCTGGAGAGAGAGAGAGAGGAGGGGTGCCTATACTGCAGAAGACAAGTGTCCTGGAAAACGGGGGTACTTTCGGCAGAAGTGCTCTCTGGGGAGCAGAGGGGCGGCGACTGATGGCTGAGAGTCAGAGCAGGTGCTTAAAGCCGGGTTTTGAACCGGGTTTGTAGGCAGGTAGGGAAGCAGTGAAGGAAAGCGAGGCAAAAGAAGGGGCGCGTGTGACCAGGAACTAATATCAAAGCAATGATGGGGGGAGGAGAGAAAGCCAGGAGTGATTTTATACAACCCCGAGCCTGGGGCGGGGTCTCTGAGCGGAACCCCGTATGCACATCCAAGGAGCAGAGAGTTAATCCTGTAGGCAGCATTTGTACATGGGAGGCGTTTATACTCCTTGTTGGCATTTTACAGGTTCAATGAGAAAAAGAAACCCCCAAACTATCCTTTCCACTGCCCACTTGTGAGCAGCTGAGCTGTAAGACACCGGGAGGCACATGGAGGGTAAAATGTGTTTATTAAGCGTCAGGTGGAGGATGCAGCCTGCCCTGGCCGACTGTCCCCTGAACCGGACAGACTTATCCACCCAGTCCTGGTGGCGATGCAAATGCAGAGCCCCCCCCCCCCCCCCCGTCCTTAAAGAGGAGCAGCACGGGGAGGGGAAGAGAGGGCAGCGCTACTCGAGTTGCTCCCACATTTGGAGATCCGAAACTGGCTCTTCCCTCCCCGGGGACGAGTGGAGACGGAGGCTGGGAGCGAAGGGCAGCTGATGTCCCTCCACTTGGAGCTCAGGGATTAGTGAGTACCGCCGCGTCCCGCCCGGTGCAGCTCCAAGCCCTGTTCTATACTGGTCTCGTCAGGATCACATGACAGAGCCCATGCAGGCTGCGGATGGGAGCTGCTGGGGATCCGCCTGCAGAGCTGCCATCAGCTGACCCCCAGGCTGTCACCCGGGGTGGGGCTGGTCAGCTCCCGGCCGGCCGCCCGCGCTCCTTCGCTTTTCTTGAAAAGATGCGTGTTTGTTTTTTGTTTGTTTTGTTTTTTTGATGGTTCAAGGTTTTCAATCTGCGCGGCCCAGTCCCGCAGCCCCTCACTGCCAGGGTCTGCAAATCCTAAGGTGTCCGCTTGCCCACGCCCAGGGATTTTAATCGCAGGCAAAGGGACGCGGCGCCAGGTGGTGCCACCGGTGCCACCTTGGGGAGGGGTGGTGGTGACGGCGCTGGTGTCACCCACAGCCTGGGCGCGGCGTTCCTACTCCTGGTCTTGTCCACTGGGGCCGGGGCGGCGCCCAAGCGCTCTACGCCTCTGCGTCCCCGCAAGAAGTCGGGCTGTCCAGGGGCTTCTGCGACCCCGCAGGCGGCAGGTGGCAGCCACTGCTGGTGCACAGCCTGCGTCCGTCTCCCCTCGCCCGTCACCGACCCCGCTCTGCGGGCTCTTGCTCCTTCGCAGCCGTCGCCGGCGCCACCTCCTCCACCCAGAGGACGGTTACTGCGCGAGTCGTGCAGCGACCAGACCCGCGCTACCCGCCCGGCCCAGGAGCGCGTCTCGAGTGCCCATGGCTTCGCTCCTCCAAGCCCCGGCGCCCAACTCACCGGCTTCATCGCTGGCCACCCCACGCCGCGACCACCGCCGCCTCCCCAAGGCAGCACCGGCGTCTCTGCCACCGCCCCGCACCGAGCCCGCCCCCCACTCAGCTCATTGGTACATCTTTCTGTGAGGTGGGCGCGGCGTCTTCGGGAAACCAATCAGATCCTCGTTCTGGTTCTTACTCCGCCTCCTTGTGCCCTGGCTCGGCCCCTAACTGTTCATTGGTTCCTAGGAAGCCTTTGAAAGACGCGCGGGAGGAGGGTCCCGTGGAACGTTGATTGGCTGGAGGGCAACCTCGTCCGGCCAGTGGGAGCGTGGAGGGGCGGGACCAAGGCGTCTGGGGGCGGTCCCAGCGCTTAGGGGACTCTAGGAATCTGTGAGGTTTTTGGTGGCTGGGTGCTGGGGAGGTTTCCTTTGCTTAAAGATTTTTTTAAGGGCGTGGGGGAGATTTGGAGCACTGCACTGAGGCGTCATGGGAAAACATATCACATAGACTTTGTATTTATAGTCATATGCAATCACACAAGTACTGTAAAAATCTAGAGAGTAACTATAACATATGCTTGACGTTCTATGTTCTTTATCATTGCTGGATCTAGACAAGTTCGGGTGTAGATCAACCTTCCTGCTCAACAAATATGAACGGAATAATAGCGGGAGGGAGATTTAAAAGATGCCAGGTGGGTATGCAGTGTGAGTATTTCTGCATAATCAGCCATAATTTAAAAAATATATGTTTCATTATTCTCTCTTCCATTCTCCAGATCCCGTGTGGTGGGCCGTGGAGTAGGAAGTCACCGGGAGCAGTGTTACCTGCGGATCTGAGAAAAGAGTCACACGCAAGTTTCAGCCAGTGGCCGTAGAGCTATCCGAAGACAGTACAGTTTGACTCCGAGACCGTATGAGTCCGGGTTCTCCAGAGAAGCTGAACGAAGCAGACGTGCATAGACACATATAGAAAGAGTCTGTCTTAAGGCATTGGCTCCGTGATTGTGAGGGTTTGGTGAGCCCAAAATGTGGTGGCAGAGGCGGGTGAGCTGGAGACTTGGGAGAGAAATAAAGTTCAAGTCCAAAGTCAGCCTTGTCTTAGAACCTGGAAGAGCCCGTGTTGCAGATGAGCTGCCGAGGCTGCAGCCACTTAGGGGGTGAGCCAGCAGATGGAAGATCCCTTCCTCTCTGTCTCTCTGTAACTCTTTAAAATAAATTAAAAACAAAACAAAACAAAACAAAAAAACAAAAAACAAGTTATATGCAAGGGAACCAAATCCTTTTCATAGGAAAACAATTTTGTTTTCACCACTTACCAGAAAAGCAACATTGTGTTCAGGAATCCGGAATTCAGAATCCTGAGTTTTCATAAAGTTTCAAAGTAAGTTTGGCTCCTGCCATCGGATCAGCGCGGTGCGCTGGCCGCAGCGCGCCTACCGCGGCGGCCATTGGAGGGTGAACGAACGGCAAAGGAAGACCTTTCTCTCTGTCTCTCTCTCTCACTGTCCACTCTGCCTGTCAAAGTGAGTTTACATAACCTCCCCCCTCTTTTGTCCTGCTCACTAGTCTAGCGAGCAGCCTGGAAAAGATCCATCCTTTTTTTGGTCACTGCTGCATTTAACAACCAAGCTGCCTAAGCTGGGTGTGCCAGGAGGGAGGTCGAGTCTGGAGGTAGACTCCATGGTAGCAAACTGAGAAAGCTACTTCAAAGAGTTTGTGGGGAAAATGGAATGAAGAGGTAAGTCTATTTTTTGGTGCAAACAACCTTTGAAATCCTTGCATAGTTTATTTTTTGAAGACCATTCATTCATTGGATTCATAAATCCAGAAAGTGAGGACCGCAGGCCACAGAGGGCGGTCATGCCCCAGAGGCAGCTGAGTCTGCTCCACCAGGAGCCATGGAGGGGTTACCCGATGTGCAGCTTCTGAAACCAATCAGCAGTTAGTCTCGGTATCAGCAGGGGAGACCAAGCCATGGCTCAGTTTCAGGGTCTTCTCAGAGAGTACGCCTTTCCCCGCGACTCTGTATGTAGCCCAGAAGGTCCAGCCAGCATCCACCTGGTTATGCCCCCACTGAGTGGTGTCCCAAAGCGCTGTTGGTCTCCAAGTTAAGTCCTAGTCATTGAGCTTAGCTGTGCCTCTGGCTCAGCACAGCCTGTCTTGGTGCTGCGACAGCCCATAACAGACAGGATGAGGCTTTAGCTTAAGGCGCAAGAAGTTAGTATCTGTGACATCAAGATTTCAAAAAGAGGCGCCTTTCAAATAAATAATATATTTTTTTGTAGTTGCTAAGGCGAGGCACTGCAAGCTGGAGGGCCGTGTTCCAGGTCCAAGTGGACTTGCAAGGCTTTCGCATGTCCATGTTTATCGTGTTATTCCAAACTGACTCTTGCACAAACATGTACATCAGGCCAGAAAGAAGTCATTGACCGCTCTAAGGGCCAGAGAACTGAATTCATGAGTTCATTAACAACCTAAAACTTGCTCTTTAAAATTCCGAAAGTGTAACTCTTGTCATGTTGACTTCTTTTCCTGAGGCTCTAATAAGAAAAATGTCACGGTAGAAACTACCAGTGTTGGAGTCTGGTTCTGTTCTCAGTACTCAACGAATTTACATTCTAATCCTGTATGACCCGCAAAAAGCAAGACTTCTGTGTCCCAGGGATACTTTTCTGTCCAGCTTTCCTTGATGGGGAGGATTCCTCTAGCACTCATGAAATCACAAATGTAACATTTTGCATCAATTTTTATCATCATTTACTTGTAATAGTTCAAAAAACACAATGATTGTTTTAAAAATCTGCTTTATTCTGGGCCGGCGCCGCGGCTCACTAGGCTAATCCTCCGCCTTGCGGCGCCGGCACACCGGGTTCTAGTCCCGGTCGGGGTTCCGGATTCTGTCCCGGTTGCCCCTCTTCCAGGCCAGCCCTCTGCTGTGGCCAGGGAGTGCAGTGGAGGATGGCCCAGGTGCTTGGGCCCTGCACCCCATGGGAGACCAGGAAAAGCACCTGGCTCCTGGCTCCTGCCATCGGATCAGCGTGGTGTGCCGGCCGCAGTGCGCCGGCCGCGGCGGCCATTGGAGGGTGAACCAACAGCAAAGGAAGACCTTTCTCTCTGTCTCTCTCTCTCACTGTCCACTCTGCCTGTCAAAAAAAAAAAAAAATCTGCTTTATTCTCATCGCAAATTTACTCCAATCTCTGCCAGTAAATTCAACATTTTCAGGATTAATACTATAGATTCAAGCTGGACGGCAAGAGGAGGGGCTGGCTGGCCGGACTGCCCCCCAACCCAAGCCTGCCCCTTGTTTATCTAAAGCTATGTTCCACTCCGGGAACTGACTGCTCTTTTACCATTCTACTTGGAGAAAAGAGCAGTGTAGGTTTTCCACATTTTTGAACCACTCCAGTCACCTTTGTGGCTCCACTGGGAGGATGGTACAAAACCAAGAGCAGCACCTGAGCAGCACTCTTTTGCCCTCTCCCTTCAGCTGTCACGGCCAAGAGCAGCCGGGTGACCCAGTGAGCCTCCTCTCCTGGGGTTGCATCTGTCACAACACACAACGGCTCAGCTGCTATTTCACGTGGAAGGGAACTCCATGGCCATCTAGGCATCAAACACCTGCCATATCCTTCTCCCTCTCTTCCTTTCCCCGAAGATTGCGCTTGTCATAGTGCAGTGAGTCGGACTTGGTCTTGCGAACCCCACTTCTGACACCAGTTGTATCAGGAAGGCCCCTAAGACCACCTCCAGATCTAAAAATACACCACAGGCATCAGTACTCAGTACCTAGTAGCCCTTCTGGCTATGACTTATTACACTGACAAGATACCAAGAAAAACTGGCCAAGAGAAAGGGGCATAGGGCGAATTCTGCAGGAAGCTAGGTGCAAGTCTCTGAGAATCCTCTGCCAGGGGAGTATCATGGGATGCACTCAGTTCCTCCACAATGGGTTGTGACAAAATGTGTGAAATGCTGTCTATTGAATAAATTCATTAGAGACTCAGTGACCAGGGATTTTACTGGGGGCCTGGTCATGTAGGTACCCTCTGCCTGCTCCATAGCAATGTTTCAGACTGGAAGGAAAGCAGATGTTTAGCATCAAAATATTGTTTGCACACAAAGTTTAGGTAGTGAGTCCTTCTTATCAGACAATGGTGGGAATTCTACCAAGAGCAAGCCTTGGGCCAACCTTGTAAGCTGGCCTTTCTAAGGAGAGCAGTCTCAGGGCTGTTACATTAACTCTTTTCTTCACAGTATGCTATGGCCAGAGGTTCAAAGAGTTCTTGTCCATTCAGGCTTTTCCTTCTTCTCCTTTTCTGTTTTAATGAGTAAAACACTCCTGGTGTAGCCCACTTATCTCAGGAGGAATTAAAGGCATGTGAAATAAGTGAGTTCCCCTGCAGAGCCCCAACCAAGCCATCAACATCCTTAGAAAGCCTCCATGTGTGTGTAGAGCTTGGCTGAGACCAGGAGGGCTGTGCAGCTAAGTCCAGACTAGATGACCTGACCCTCAGCCAGTCTTTAACTGACCCCTAGATCTGAAAGAATAAATAATTGTTTTAAACCACTGAGTTCTGGGGTGGTTTATAGCATAGCGGTTTTGTGGCTGTATCTGAGAGGCACTGATTTAATAACACTAAAATAAAAATATTATTCACTTCCTTTCAGAGAAAAGGCAACTGAGAGGAGAACAGAAGAGAATCAAGATGCTATTTGTCCAAGATCCTAGAGCTTCTAAAACAAAGAGGAAGAACAAAAAAATTTTAAAAAAATTTAAAAAAGGAAGAGGCAGGATTTGAAGCCAGAATTCTGGTCCCAGAGCCTGCATGCTAATTATCACTTTGTGCTGTCTTGGCGGTTCAGCTGGAACTTGAAGAACAAAGGCGTGGGTAAGAACAGCCACAGCTCGTTGCACCAGAAGGATACAGCTGTAAAGCCAGCAGGAGTGACGGGAAAGAATCACTCTGGAGAATTGTAAAGAATGATGCTCGAAACATCCCTCCTCTACCTTTGCTTTGACTGTGAAGTTTGTGAAGGCAAACTCTCAATCTCAGAAGATCTCGGTGGTGACGAAGATGGTGATGACGCATGAGCATTGATTGGGCATCTCGTAAGCGACCAACACTGCTAAGAACGGGTTCCTCCAGGGCCCAGAGTAGGATTTCATGTTCTTTCTTCTC